ATTCAGACAGAAATGGACATTCGACTTGTATTTTGACCTCCGACATCACTTCCTGCTCACCTTTCACCGCGCCGTGCTGTTGCCACTGGAAACCGTGTTGTTGTCAGAGTTGGTCAGAGACTGCTCCTTCACCACCGGGTCTGCGGGAGGGACCGGGGTTAGACACAGCCCGGGGACACACACACACACAGGGGGGGGTCCTTACAGAAGTAGGGGTGCTGCAGCGCCTCGGCCGCCGTCAGACGCTGCTGGTGGTCGTAGCGCAGCAGCTGGTCCAGCAGGTCCAGAGCCTCCGGACCCACCAGGTGCTGGTTCTCCGTCTGGATGAACTGCTCCCAGCGCTTCCTGCTCTGCCTGCACAGAACCACAAAGGACCTCAGTCTGGGCCCACAGAACCTCACAGCCCCTCAGTCTGGACCCAGAACCTCAGTCTGGGCCCACAGAACCTCACAGCACCTCAGAAAAACCTTGCAGAACATCACAGAACCTCAGTATGGGTCTTACAGAACCTCACAGAACCTCAGTCTGGGCCCAAAGAACCACACAGAACCACACAAAACCTCAGTGTGGGCCCGTAGAACCACACAGAATCTCAGCAGAACCACACAGAACTTCAGTCTGGACCCAAAGAAGCTCACAGAACCACAGGCCTCTCTGGGCCTCTTTGGGTCTCTTTAGTGATGGAAATCAGGTGTATAAGCAGGAAATCTCTAAAACCTGCAGGACAGCAGCCCAGAATTTTCTCTGACCTTCTTCCCAGTGGGAAAACAGGCCCCTGATCCAAAATGACGGCTTTAAAGATGGCCGCCATGTTCAGGACGCAGCCCATGAATAGACACCAACAGATCGCCCCCCCCGACCCGTCTGGGAGGCTCAGATGTCTCCCTTTCCTTCAGCTTCGGAGCCAAAATGCTGGAACGACTGACTCCCAGCTGGTCTGAAGCCGACCAATCAGAGGGCAGCGGGGCCGGGGGGGGGACTTACTGCCCGAGCAGGTCTTTGAAACGCGGGTCCAGCTCAATGTGGTATTTGCGCAGGTAGCCGAACAGCTCGTCCGTGCCCAGGACTTTGGCGATCCGCACCAGCTGCAAGACACACAAGAAAAGACCCAAAAGCTTTAAGAGGCTCCAGAAAGCCGGAAACACGCGCAAAGTCTGAATGTTTGGAGCTGAAACACAAAGAAATTACACGTTTTGCCCAGTAGAAAAAGACAGAACCACCCTTTGAATGTTTAAAAACAATCAAATATATAAATATCTAATTTTCTGTTTTCTGTATAAAATGAACAAAAACAGAGTTATTTGGACTCCGATTTGACATTTTTCATTCATGTATTCGACTGTTTAAGAGATTCTGTTTAACTTTTTATTTATGATAAAAGGAGAAATTTCCTTCAAACAAAAAGATTAATTATCACAATTAGAAAATAAGCCAGAAATATGAAATTATGTCTCATTTTATGTGTTTTTCCTCATCCAAAAAATGATTAATTTATTGATCCATGTGCACGTTTTGCATGATGGAAAAACAAAACAGAACGGAGCATTTAGCACTTTTTCAAATAAAAAAAACCCTCAAAAGGCATAAAGTGCATTTAGCTTTTTTCCATAGTTAAAATACAAAATAGTTTTAAAAAAAAACATAGAGCTTGTGCATTTTATCACAAAAAAAAAAAAAAAAAAACCCCCCCCCCCCCCCAACAGACCTGGTCGTAGTTGTCCTGCCCGTGGAAGAAGGGCTCCTTCT